TCCATCACTAATTGCCTATTTTCTTGTATTGAGACACAAGTCTAAAGTATTTAAAAAGTTCAAAGAATTTAGACATAAAGTCAAGTAGCGAACTATCAAAAGTATCAAGGCATTTTGATTAGATTGAGGTGATGAATACTTAAGTGCTAAATTTTTAGATCACCTAAAAGAGAATGAGATTCTTTATAGACATCACATGTTAGACATGGACTGGTCCATGAGTCAAATTAATATCCCTTTTTCATTTTGAGATAAACACTCCTTGTTGCAGACCTTTACCTTGAATAAGGTTTCAATTAAGTCTATTTGATTAGACTTCATATGAGATATGGAAAGAAAAGAAAGTGAGTTTATCTTTCATTTAGATTTAGGGCTATAAAATATATGTTAAATAGTTTGACAAAGACAAGCAAAAGTCCAAATCAATAAAATGCACTTTTATGAAATATCCAAAAGAAAATGAAATGATATCATTATTTTACCTCTAAAATAAAGTGTTGTTCGTTAATAGGCGTATTATATTTTTTGAGAAGGAATTTGTGGTTGCTAAAAATACTAAGAAGAAATTAGAACTTAATGAGATTAGAATAGATTGACAAATTGACATTTTACTAAAAGAATCCTAAGTAAACAGAGTTATAAAATGTTGTAACTAAGCTACAAATAAATACATAAGAATTTCTAAGTCTAAAATGAATTGGTTAAAAGGAAAAAAGATATGATATTCTTATCTCAACATATAGTGAAGTGTACCCCTAAAAAGGATGACAAAGCTAGCATTTATAAAATGATAATGCTAGACATTGACTCTTAGAAATGAAAAATGGAAAGGATAAGTAGATGACATACATTGATTGTTCTAAATAACATACAAATAAGATTTATAAAATACAAAGGTCCATTTATGGACTTGGGCAAGCTTCTAGAAATTATGAGTTGATGTTTTGATGAAACGATCAAAGAGTTTATTTTTTACAAAAACAAAAATGAACCTCGTGTATACAAAAGGTTAATGGGAGCCTACTAGTCATAGTTATTCTATATTAAAAATGAACAAACTACTTCTCGACTATAAAATTATCATGTTAAAATCTATAAAAGATTTAGTATTCAAAGATTTCTCCATATATGATATGGGTGGACAACCTACATTCTAAGAGTAGAGATCTATAGAGATAGATCATTTAGAATGTGAGGGGTCTTCTAAAGCGAGATACATTGATATGATACTAAAAGGTTTAGTATGAAAGAATCAAAGAAAGGATTGCTTCCAATCTCATATAGTTGATGACCAACTATATAGGTTCCTAGTGTCGTTAATCCAATAGTATTGTATTGAGATAACAAAGGAGCTATAGCACAAGTTAGAGAACCAAAGTCTCATCAAAGATCCAAGCATGCATTACGAAGCTACCATCCGATTAGAGAGATTATTAGTCATGGTGATAGAAGGATAGAAAATGTCTACATTAATGATAACATAGTTGACCCCTTGACTAAGCCTTTGTCATAACCGAAACATAACACCTTTACTTGATCGTCGAGAATAAGGGACATGGTCGGTTGGCTCTAGTGTAAGTGGAAGATTATTAGTGTAGGTGTCTAAGATTCAACCTTGATTGGATGGTTTGAGTTATTGCATAATTGCATTGTTTATTTTATCAATAACAAAAAAGTCTCTTCATTAATTCTTATTTGTTTATTGAATAGAATTAGATAGAAGTCTATATGATATGCATTTGAATTAATGATTAATCGAAAGATGTGAGACAAACATTAATACGCTTAAATAATATTCTTAAATGTCCAAAGTCATAGCATTACCAAGAATGGACATTGACTATATGCAAGTAGACTTGTAAGTGTCATGCTTATGCTATAAGATAGCGAGTATAAGATCTCACACCTATTGGCATGGTGATGCCAAAGCAAGCACTTAGGTGATTTATATTAGAGAACATATCACCGAAGTCGACTACCACAAGAACCCACTTGGTTTAGTTTATAAGAATCTCATACGAAATAGGTACAATCGATCCTTTGACTTGAAGTCATCACGGTTATCTTATTAAATGATTTATGTACTTTGACACTCGCTTTAATATGCCTAATAAAGGGTTGCAAGTAGACGATTCGTTGGGTGTAGTAGGAATTGTATGAATTGGGAAATTTAGGTTTGTTTTTTCAATCAATCACTAATAATTTGAAGAGAGAAAACAAATTAGGGATTTTGTATAATCTAGGAATTTTGGAGTTTTTAATAAAAGGGCATGAAGGTTTATACACGATTTTTAATATGGAAGCAATTTGGGGTTTTTTTTCCATGTCATTAATTTGTTTATTGGTATTCAAAATTGAGAGAAAAAAATTTTAATGTCATGTGTCGACATCTTGTTTGTCTTAAGCTGAAAATTGACATGTTTGCTTGAAAAAATGGATGGAGGAACAAAATTAAAAGTAAAGGGATACGATTAAGAAAAATAAAATAATAGAGGGACATCCTGGACTTTTAACCCACCAATGATACATTTCATCACAAATTGCATCAGTATATTAAAAAAAATATATTTCTCTCATAAAAGAGTTTCCCTCCTAAAAGCAGATTTTGTAATTTTAGGAATATATACTTTCAATATATTATGTTAAAATTGTTTTTCAATTTATTATTTGCATTGGAATGGAAAAACTAATCTTAATATTTTTAAATAGACATATTATTATTTTTAATTTATATTTCCAATTTTTTATTGATTATTTTCTTTTATATTTTGATGGAAATTTTGAATGGAATATTCTATTGAAAAACGTTAATTTTCCGGTAGTATCACCTAAACCGAACATCGAGACTTCTATTGACGCACAGGCTCATGCATACATATAATCATGCACGTCATTCAATAACATACTCATAAACTACGTAACAAAATGAATGCAGTAAGAAACCATGTCTCCATTTTTGTGAGTACATGTGAGGGATTCTTGAAAATAAGTTAGTGATAAGCCAGTAGACTAGTCAAAATATATAAAAACATTAACTAAAGTACTTAATTAATAATCAACATATTCACTTTGAAGGAGGAAATGAAAACCCTCTCCTCTTAATTATTAATGCTCGAAGTTTCCTCGTCATTCATCATATTCCAATTTTCTAACCTTTCGTATTATTTAATTTGCTTTTATATTTTGGAAAAACCAACCTTAGTATACTGACCGGGTTAAGACCTTTATTTATTTATTTTTTGAGATGAGAATCGATAGGACCGGGTTAGGACCGAGGACATAAACATTCTGTACTGATCTGATTATGTAAGCACAGAACAGAAAATTGGATGGGGATGGCCTGTTTTTGTACATCGCATTTTGATTACACACTTATGTACAAAGCATTACATCTGAACAAAGATGTACATGAAAAAGTAGATGATCAATTCCTTGTCGTATTGGAAAACTCATCTTAACAGAAAATACGCATTGAATGTAAATACAATTGCACGTGTAAAGATAATCCTGTAGCGACTTCAGCTTGGTCACTTGGTAGCTTGAATTTATCCCACATATCTTGCCCTAGTGTTTATCCTGATCAATTATATATATATATATATATATTCCGTTTCCCTTTGTTTTATTAGTCAATACTGTTACTTTTTCCAAAATACTTTGAATGGATCTCACATTAACAAGTACTTACTGTATATAATTTGATGAGGATATTAGGGACTATTTTAGTAGCTAGAGATTATCAACTGGGACCTGCAGGAAGTAATCGTTCATGGACAGCCCATTACATATAATTTGATGAGGATATTAGGGACTATTTTAGTAGCTAGAGATTATCAACTGGGACCTGCATGAAGTAATCGCTCCTGGACAGCCCATTGTCTCTTTGAATGCATAGCACCCCTTCCCTGTTACCATTTGCATGCATGCCACCTACAATTCCTATCATGTGCTTGCATTCAAGTGAATTAATTAAAGACAATATATTACGTACCATCCCACAATAACATCAAAATAATAATAACAACAACAACAACAATAATGACTAATAAAACAAAGGGAAATGGATATATATATATATATATATATTATAAATTGTACCAGTAGCACTGCACCTATTGCTTCTAGCGGGTCACGGTCCACTTGCTGTTTGCATGCCTTGCGGTGTTAAGGGGAGGGGTGTGGTGTGGTGTGGTGGGGTAGAGATAGAGCAGTCACCAGAGAAGGGAAAGATTGGTTTTCCTTGGTTTTTATTGGTCGCAACTTGTCGTTCAAAAAATCGGAAACCATAACCATAGTTAAGGCCTGGGATCCTTCGATGTTACGTACCTTCTCACCTTCTAGAATAATAGCCTGTGACACATCTCTCTCAAAAATTTGTGTACCGTATAGTAGTAGTATGTGGTAGTGTCTGTTGTTGGTGGCAGATTAAACATACTACAATGGTCCCAGCGCCACCCCCACTAATAGCGGAAAATGACCTTACATTTTGGTAGAGGGGAACAGAGTAAGGGGCGGGCTGCCTGCATGTATATATATGGATCTTCTCAGACTCAAGACCCTTCTTCTATCTTGGCTAATTCAATCTCAATAAATGATGCAAATTTAATTTCACCATATCATGTTGTAACGAGGAAGTTGAAGAATTGAAGACTTCTTTATTTTTCAACACTAACAAATATGTCACCACAGTCACATTGAATTTGAAGTACCTACCTAGCTAGCTAAGCTAATTAAGGAACACCACAGTCCACCGTCTATATTTGGCCATCTTTATAGAAAACTACACTGCATTTTACCTTGGGATGGATTGGTCTAGCCGATGGAATAGATCTATTTTTCGTATCATCATACAGCATATTTTAAGAAAAACCATTTTTTATGTACAGACCAAAAAAAAAATATTATTTTCACAGTGTGCAATGCTCATCCGAAAATACTCCTACAATTGGAAAAAACAAAAAAAGAAAGTTTGACGTTAAAGAAGAGGAGAGGAACGTATAATGGGGATATTGATTGAAGGGTGGCAGGCTTTTTTCGGCGGTGGACAGGAACAAGTGCTGCCTCCTTATTGTCCCTATCCGAGGTTCCCACGTGGCAGCCAAGTTTTGATTGGAGCCTTAAAGGTTTGCTCACGTGGCAATTGCTGTCAGCAGTCAGCACCACCCTCAAGTGGAAATGAGCCGTTTGATTATGACCCGTCACATCATGTCCGTCTGTACCTTTGCAGGCGGTCCCACCCCCTCTTCAAACCCTTGTCAATCGATTGGGGAAGCAAGGAAATGACCCTCCACATATTGACCTTCCTACTCACAGTTGTAAACTTTGATTCACTCTGCCTCTCTTCTGCCTGCAACGAAACGCCAAATACCTAGAGCCCAGCCAACGCAACTGCCGATTTATTTCTCTCCATTACCAATTACTGAACAACAACTATCTATTAAATTTTTTTAATAATTCAAAGAAAATTTTATCACTTAAAAGACAGGGTGTCAATTCGTGAAATAAAAGGATTAAACAACCATAATTCTAAGAAAATTTCTTTTAACGAAAGAGAGGTTGGAATTCGATTTTTCCAAAAGAAAAAAAAAAGAAGAAGAAAAGAATATTAACACTGATTGAGCCATAATTCATTAACTTAAATATTCATAATTGTACGTAATACTTTAACATCTAATAATATGATTTTTTTTTTTTTAATGTATGAATCAATTCATAGGACTTTGTTGGGGTAGAATATGTGTCTTGTGGATACACAAACCTTAATGATTTTCAATTGGAGAGATGTACTAAGTTCGGTATACGAAACTGGCAAAAAATATGATATGATCCTAATAAATTTCTCACGTATAATCTTTTAACTTTCTTCCACGAAGTGTGATTATTTTTCTTATAGGTAAAATGTTTCTTTTAAATACACAAATTCTAGCACGACCCAAAAGGAAAATTTGGAAACGAGCATATTATTGATAAGTGAATTTATATTTCGTATTGTCATTCAAGCTCTAGCCTAAAATATTCCATAAAATAGTTTTTTAAAAAAATATATGAATGTATCAAATCCCATTATTCTAAATGCTTAAGAAAAAAAAAAAAAGTTAGCAGGAGAATTAAGTCAATAAATTGAAAGGGTACCAAGAATTACTATTCCTGCCTCATTCCAGCTGTCCCCCTTCTATCATTTTGTACAGAAATAAATTAGTAATTCTAATTCTTGTGGGGTAAATTACAGAAGCAGTCGACTACTAGGGTACAGGAAAGGACCTCACCGCACACACAGTTACGAAGAAAGGCCAACAGGCCTGCAAAGTCTGAGGAACTGAATTAATACAAGAAAACGAAAAGTTGGATTTTATCCCCTAAATAAAAAAAGGATAAAATTGAGGGGTTTCTTCAATATTTTTAAAACACATTGGTGGTCTGGTTTGGTTGCGGTGTGAATGGAATCCAAAGGTGAAGTTATAGTCACAAGAAATGGAGAGAGAGAAAAGGGTGTGTGTAATGGCCTAATGGGGTTATGGTAAATGGGGTCTGCAGTGTTTTAATTAGAAGTATTTGGATGTGGTTGTGTTTAAATGTGCGTGAAGCGATTGGTGGGCTACTGGAAGCTGTGTTTTTTTTTTTTTTGGCCAAAAGCAAAGCAGCAGCAATGCCATATGCCAATCTTTATCCACTCGATCCACTGATATACAAAAAAGAAGAGGCCTGTTTCTCTTTCTCTTTCTCTTTCTTCCTTCGTATATATCTACTTGTTATTATTTCTATTATTCTATTATATTCTAGAATTTTATCCTATTTCTGCATGTTCAGATATGCAAGTTAAGCTCATAGACACACATTGCAACTTGAATGCTTTTCTCTCTCTCATATATATATATATATATATATATGTTATTGATGACTTAATACTGGTATTTGTGTTCATAAATCTTGTCTTTAAACTTAACTTGCTGGATTTAGGGTTTTGTTGGGTTTTGAATTTTAGTAATGAAGTCATTCATTTTGGCTCTTATTTTCATGAACATGGTTTGCTTAGGTCACGATTTGTCACATATAGTGAGTCAAATAGTGTGGCTGGCGGTAAGGCTAAAAAGGTTGATCTTTTCTCATGAATTGGGGCATCAAAAGAGAGAGGAGTTAGATATAGATTGGTCAGTTGCAAGGTGCAGTGATAGCCCATGTCCATACACATTAGACCCAATTCGGAAGAGTTTGAAGATAACCATTGAACAAAAACGAACTATACAGGCCATTTGGCTTTGATGTGTAAAAAGTCATCTAGCAATTTCAGAGTTTGGTAAACATCTAGCTTTGAATAAATAATGAGAGGATTAGATTTAGTTTTTAGTCAATTGCAAAGTGCAATTGATATTTGCATACGTACATGCATACGTAGACCTCTTTTTGGAAGAATTTGGAAATAAACATTGAGCAAAAATAAGCTTCAAAAAGCCATTTGGCTTTGTCCTGTAGTAGTCAATACAGCAATCTCGGCATATCTGTGGATTAAAAGAGAGAGTTTCTCACAAACTATCAAGAGCTTTTGTGGACTAAAGGGAAAGGAGTGACTACTTTGCCTCTCCTAGCAGTGGTGTGGTGAACACACAACAGTTTTCATCACACAAATGAGCTAGTACTACTTAATCTAGATTTAAAATCGAATGTTAATCCGTAAATTGTAATAGATGTTTAACTTTAACGTGTAAAACCTCCCCCCCCCCCCCCAGGAATTAAGATAGTACTTTAGATTGTTGATTTTGTAACAATAACACAAGTCTAATTCTCTGCTTGTCCAATCAAAAGTATTTTAGTATTATATAAAGAGATCATGAAATCTTATGTTGGATTGGTTTAGGGATCCTTATTCATCTTTAGGTAATTATATAGATTAATACGAGTGAAAAAAGAAAGAAGGAAAATAAAAATAAATCTAGTAGGGGAGGTAGAGATGGTTTTTGAGATAAGGAATTGAAAAGAGAGGTGCAAATAAATTTCAATGATTTATAAATATGGTAACTAGAGATCTCGTTTTTTTTTTACTTTTTAAGGACCATCAAGTAGAATTAAGAAAATGGTAAATTGAAAGATTAAAAAAAAAAATGATCTTATTAGTCTAGTTATTGGCACTTGTCACACGTGTGTTCTGCTGCTAGTTATGCATCTTTAATGTGGAACATACTGTTGCCGAAAGCCGAGTAAAGAGGTGCATGTTGTGGCTTTCTATCAGCGGTGTAGTTGTACAGATGGTTGCTGTAGATGTAATGGTGTAGGATGGCTTTAGAATGCAAACAAGAGTTTATCATTTGCTATTCTATTGACACCCCACCAGAGACTTGAGCCATGCGATTTTTTTATTGTTCTTGATGGTTATAGATTATGTCTGGCAAAAATGCTCGGAGTGAGCATATTTGGAAAAATGATGTCCTTTGAGCTATATTTTAATGGGAGTAATGACTTGAGAATGATTGGGGGAGGGGGACTTATATTTTATTTCATTTCATAGCTTGATTTTTTAGTCCTGTCCAAAATCGGTAGACAGCAGCTTAATTTCTTTCTAGTAGTTCTTTACAGACCTAAGCAAACATCAATGGAGAGACAAATAAGCTTTAACACCAAACTAATACAGTCCATGCTCGTTGTTCAACTCTAGTATGGGATGAAGTTTAAGTTGTTTTGACTCTAACCAGACATGCTTGGATTAATAATATGTGGGTGTGTCTCGTTACAAAATTTAGGAACGGTTTCTCCCTTTTTTGGGGATTGTTTAATTACTATTATCTTTTGGATAAAATGATATATTTGCTCCCTCTATGCACAACAATTGATCCTTGTGAACAAGCAATGTCAGTTGCAAATTCGAATATAAAATTTAGATGTTAGTTCTAAACATAACTGCTTTCTCCTTCCCGAGCAGTGGATGCTGATCTGTTTATATTTACAGCAGTAATAAATTCTTTTCTCTAGGTTTTATTTTCACTGTTATTGCTGCCTGAAAACTCTGCCAAAAGACACAGAAGCCATGCCTCTGGGTCTGCCACCTCCAATTAGAGTGTGAAAACTTGAAGTGAAAAAAAAAAAAAATGTAGTAAAAAAGATAGCAAGAAAGGGAAATAATATAAAAAGGAAAGAAAAGAGGATGGTATGGAGCATTTTTGTCTTTAACATCCTGTGGAATGCCTTTACAAAAGGTCCAAGTTCTCTGTTTCAAATGAACAGACTCAAATCATGTTGAGCAATTTGTTTTAAACAGAAGAATTGGAATTTTCTCCTTTGTTTTTCCTCCTAAAAAAAGGAAATGAAAAGAGAAGGTTACAACAGTAATGGAGATTCTTCTGTCAGTCTTTATATAGGCTTTTGCTGACGTTTTATGAGTCTGGTCCCATAGTACATTCAGACAAGATACCAGAATACCCATTCATCATGCCTAAAATGCCCTCTACCTATGAATTACCACTAGAAAATCAGGAAATTGTAACCTGAAGAACCTCCTAATTAGTAAAACAACCCTGCTTCTCAATCTATCTAAGAGTCAATCTTTAATGCATTTCCTATCTCCTACCTGGAATCACTTGTTACTTTTACATGATGAGTACTTTCTTACTCTAACCTTTGAATGTTTTCGTTCCGTCATTGTAATTTCACGCATTGCTGAAACAATGTTAGATAATCTAGCTTTAGAATACTTCTTTTCCATAAAGATCTTGGAGAACCATGAGAGGAATCATGGCTGGAGACAAAGTTTAGAGTGTTTGCTTTACTAGTTTGGTTTATTGAAGTTATATTCCTCTTTTTTTGTCAGTTTCTATATGTTCTAAAGTTATATTATTATTGAATTCGATACTTCTACTGCTTTTCTTGATCCCTTTCACTATTGATAGGACACAAAAGTCTAGGATTATAGAAATCTTCTCGGCACTGATATTTTGGGCTTGAAGGTGGTGATGTTATTTCCTTTTGGATGGGGAAAGGTGGCATTTCATTTCACCCCAGGAGCAGGAATGGAGAGTTTTGTAGTTGTGATTAAGGTTAGTCTAGGAGTGCAAAACCCTAACTGCTCATTTAAGGGCGGGTATTAAAACTGTAAGAAATGTGGTTTGCCAAATCAGGGAAAAATCCAAAAGTTTTTAAAAACCCTAGACAGTCCCTAACTAGTATTTATAACACCCATGAGGCCCTTCGGACTAGTACTTCGGATCAGCCTCTGCCTTTCTCTGCATTGTGTACTTTTGTCCCTCAGAATATAGAAAAAAAAAAAGTCCTTATGATTCTTCCGACCCGCACTTTCTTTCTACATTCCTAAGTTGAAAAAGAAAGAGAGAGACAGAGATAAAGAGTGATGAGGGGTAGATCCTCTAAGCAGGAAACTAAAGAAGGAATGGAAATTAATAAACTTAGTAAGCTGAAGGAAGAGCCTCATCTCTCTGGTGCTTATATACGTAGCCTTGTGAAACAATTAACCTCATCAAGAACCAAAGATCCCATGAATCCCAAAGACCATAGCTCTGCTGATAGTGATGGTTTCTCTGGCCAAAATATGGCCAATTTTAGTGAAGGTTTAAGTGAAAACCAACAAAACCAACAAAACCAGCAACCCCAACAACCTCAACAACACAAAAAACAGGTTAGGAGGAGACTGCATACCAGTAGGCCTTACCAAGAAAGGCTTCTTAACATGGCGGAGGCTAGAAGAGAGATTGTCACTGCTCTAAAGTTTCACAGGGCAGCTATGAAACAAGCCAATGAACAACAACAACATCAACAGAAAAATCAACAAGAAGAAGAGCAGCAGCAACAACAACAACCATCATCGCTGCCCGTGCAGCTTTCACCCCCTCTGTGTTTTGAACAAGAAGGAAAAATAAAATCTAGGAGAAATCCAAGAATATACCCATCAAACACTACCGATTTCTCTAATTATCTAGACAACTTTTCCTACACACCTTTCACTCCTCCTCCTTGTCCTCCTCCTCCATACCCGTTTTCCTGGCCTAATTCGTCAATTCGTGCTCCAACTATCGCTGAAAACCTCAATTTTCCCCTTCCTAACCAAACCTTAGGCCTAAACCTCAATTTTCATGATTTTAACAACATAGATACCACTCTTTACCACAACAGCGACAACCCACCATCGGTGCACTCATCCTCATCTCCTTCATCGTCTTCTTTTCCTTCTTCTTCCTTTGCCAACGAAGAGATTCCTTCAGTTACAAAAACATGTGAAGGAGTTCCACCTGCAGCATTTGATGTAACTGACTCTTACAGTGGAGACGGCTTACATCAAGTGATGGATGATGAGGAGATGGCAGAGATCAGATCGATTGGAGAAAAACATCAAATGGAATGGAATGATACCATGAATTTGGTAACATCAGCATGGTGGTTCAAGTTCATGAAAACTATGGAGCTTGATCCTGAAGTAAAGACAGAGGATGATGGCTGCCATCCTTTTGAACAGGTCATGGAATTCCCAGCCTGGTTGAATGCAAATGATGGCTGTTTGCAACAACATTTCAATGATCACTGCTCCCAAGACTATTTCCGTGATCCTGCCTTGCCTTGGTAAGAATCCAAAATTTTAATATTTAAAAGAAAAACACTTGGTAAGTAAATAAATAATGAGGAAATGTTTTCTGTTTCATGTATGTTGTCCCACAGTAGATGATTTTCTTGTCATTAAATGAATTAAGAGGCTTTGTTGAATTCAGAGAAGGAGTTTCATAAACTGAATTTGGTTTTAGATCAATAAATATTTGCTTGAACCCCGAACCGTACACAAATCAGTTAAGAGGTTGATTGGTGTGGCTTCAGATTTGCAGCAAGAAACTTCTGAAGTTTAGGTTCTTTCTTTTCTTATCTTCATTCAAATTTATAATTTTATTAATTGGTTGCAGAGGACCTCTGAACCGAGTCAGAGTGGTCATAGAGCCCATGGTAGCCAATATTTGATGATCATGGGCTTTACTTTATAGGCTTCAATCAGCTCGCAATTTTTTTCTACTTCTTTTTGGGGATTAACCAACTAGTTGTTGTGTGCTGAAAGAAAGATTATATTATTCCATGCAAGTACAAAAGTTGTTGGTGGCTGATGATTTCACTGATTATATGTTTTTGTTTGGTTTTGTGATGTACAGCATGGACATTGGAGAAATTGAAGGACTTGATGGGGAGTGGCTAGCTTGACAAGGATTTTGATTATTTTTTGTTAATCAAATCTTTGGATATTTTCTTCCCTTTTTTTTTTTTTTCCATCCATCAATCTTTTTATTTGGTGGTCTTTTAGCAGCCTTGAGATTCAATAAGGCTTGCAATTGAAGATGTTAAGGTTGGCACTTGCAGGCCATGAAGAAAAATAATGTACTCGAGGAGTATGTTTTTCTCCTTATTCAGCTGCTTAATCATATGGAAATATTTATGCAGTTCTTACAAATCATATCTCTTTTCAACGTTTCCGAAGAGATGCACATCTTTGTATAATTATATCAAAATAGTCCCTCTGCTGCATGTTCTAGTAGCAATCTCAGTTGTGAGTAAAATGGCAGCTTACAGCTCTTTATCTCTACCTGCCCTTCATTGTCCAATATTGTTTACGATTTTGCCTTCTGTTTTACTCTCTACGGTGAAAAGTCTGGGCACATTCGTATGATTTTGTTGAAAGGATATGGTGGAAGTAGGTATTTGTTAAGCAAGCAAACTTTTAGCTTCCAGTCTATTTTAAGTCTCTGCACATTATTCTGCCACAATTTAAACTTCAGCCTCTTTGTTCACGGTTTCTGCAACCACTATATTTCTTAGGGTTCTGATATTAGACATTATAAGTGCTTAAAGTTTCTAAAAAACCGGTACTTCTTGCTCCTCCAATAATTCCATCCAAAATCTCCTCAGAAATGTCGTCATTGCGGTGGATATATTGCATGCCCCACTTGGAAATGTAGTGTCTCTGGCATCACGGGGGTGGTTCTCTTCATGCTTTTGGGATATCTATAGCTGTTTGTTCAAGCTTGTTTTTAGCCTTAGCCAAACTTCAACCATCAACTTGTATAACAAATTTGTCTTAGTTAATTTACCCCTCAGAAGTCATGCTCGGAATCAATGGATTCATCCCCTGCTGGACAATTATATTTTTGTGATTAGCTCTTGTAAGAAAACAGCGGGAAGTACGAACTCATTCATTTAAGCTTGATATGATAAAATCCATACACTATTTAAACATGAGCGATTCTCAAAGAGTTATTGTAGACGCATGGAGTTGTCTGCCAATCGTAATTCAATGGATCATGTAAATAAATTGTCCAACATCCTGATAATATCAACAACTACCAAATAGATCGTCCAATTTTTTCCTCAAGTTTTATAATTTGCAAGCTGCTAGGTGAAGTTGGGTTCAAGCACCTATGGGCTATGGCTGTGAATGAAATATAAAGCATCCGTTAATTCCTTTTGTTTAAAAAAGTCCCTTTTGATCCTTAAACAAGAGATAAATATACTCAGAAAGCTTTTTTAGCATTAGTTCATATAATGTGTTACTGTATAGTAGGAGTGACAATCTGATTCGTTTCGATGTCGCTCCACTTCACTCCACTCTGTTTGAGATGAAGATGATACCTAAAATACATTTCGAAAGAGGCACGAGACAAGGAGTGTCTATCCCACTTTTTTACCTTTAAAAAAAACAATTTGATCGGGTCCTGCTCCGCCTTTGTCACATTTGGAACGAAAATGATAGAGAAATTCTGTCCAGCACGAGGCACAGGGCGGGGACACCTCATTCCATTGCCATCCCTACTGTTTAGGGATTCAAATAGATCATTTTGAACATAAGGGGCTAAAATTATCCAGAATTTGTTTGTGTGTTTCCCTCTTCTCCTTGACTATGAGATTATTCCCGGCTGATTGGGAAAAGGGGGCAGTTACTCTTGAGCCAAGAATTGGGCGTTTTAACCAATAAAACCATGCCACGCACGCGAAGTAAATAAAATAAAATAACTTGAAAGCAAACTCTTGTGAAAGCGCCAATGTACGCACCAACCTCCAGTGAAAGCGCCCGCCAGTTTCTTTTCCTGCTATTTAATCGTTTGCTTCAGTTTGATTTGATTTTTTTATTGAACAGTAAATTAGAGAGCTCCGATACGATTCTTTAAATTGATCGACGGTAGATTAAACTTGAAACAATGTTCAAGTTCTGGTATGGTGTTTCTCTCTTTAAACCAACAAAATTAGGGATTCTTACTCTTTTGATTCATTAATTAATCGCGTGTTTCTTCAATTTCTTAAGATCAGATTCCAGTTTATACATCTTTGCATGCATGCTTGATTGATTATGTGGTTTTCATTAAAAATTTGTTAAATTAAACCACTCTGAATTATTGACGTCTTTCTATTTATGCAATTTTATTTTTTAACTAAAAGAAAATTGATTGGAAATCTGTTTGAAGCAAATTTATGAGACTGATGTAATTGAAATGATGTTTGATTATGCTTTCAAGTATGCCAAAATGTTAGGTTATTGCTGCTACTTGTTGAGATTGTGTGAATCTTAATACGGTTTGCCTATAGGGGTTCTCCGGAGCAACAAGATGATACTTCACAGTCTCGATATCCTCCATCTGTTGTTAGCTCTGTTTCGTCTATTCCTGAAACCACTAGTAGCAGCATTAGCTCTTCAAGTAACTACAGTTTCTCTCCTTCGCATGATTCACCTGCTGAAGTAGCTGCCATTATTTCTATTCTGAAGGGCAAAAGGTGAGTTGTGTGTAGTACAAAGTGCATATGGTTTATGGTTGTCGTATTGTTGCAGAAACTTTGCACTTATGAGGCCTTTTCCAAAGAGACAACGATAGCATTGCATAAACTAAAAATCTGATAGACTTTGGGTATGATCTAGTTAACAAGGAGCAAATTGCACTTCGTGTCCTCCTTAACCATGACTTTTTTATTATCATTAAAATTAGATCTATGAAAACTTGGCAGTAACAGTGTTGTCTGTGCACTGCATGCGGTTGTTTAATATTTTGTTGAAAACTTTCATGTTTTGTAGCTAAATATCTAGAGGTATTAGTTTAATATCAGCATAACACTTTTTGCTAGTTTAAGGATTTTAATTTCTCCTAAATTCTTACTCTACTTTGGAACTTTGGTTCGTAATGTCACTTGCTGCTGCATGCAAACGTGGTGCTTTGATAAATAATCGTCTTTGTAGTAGTCAAGTATTTGTCAAAATTAAAAATGAAAGTGGATATTGACCTTTTTTTGTAAATACTGCTAGTTCTTATCCTATATATAAAGATACGCTTCAAATCTTGCTTATCAAAATAGATAGTTTTGTCTCTGTAGCTTGGGAATCTTGACTCTGACTGTATTACTCAATGTCATGATTTACTTACACTTTCTAATCACTTTCTTGTTTTCTTTCAAAATATGTCTAGTGTTGATGAGCTACAGAATCTATTGTCTGATGAGGATGCATACAGTCAATTATTACTTTCCCTTGATCAGGTTAAAATTCAAAACATTGTAAGTTGTAACCTTTTTTTATCTTTTCTTTATGCACGTTCATAAAATTGAGAAATTTTATGTGTTTCTTTTTCTTCTTCTTTTGCTGTATGATTTATTTTGAGCACTCTTGATCTTAAATTGCCTTTTTTTTTTTTCATGAATTTGAATTATAATCATAAGAGGTTAAAGAAATTTGGTTTGTCAAATCAGAAAAGCCTAGAAATTTGTGATACTACCATCTTGCTAGAATCATAGTTTATGCATCTAGAGATCTCAGTTGCCTTTGAGAATTCATTGTTCTTTCATGATCTGGAGCATAAATGAAAGAAGTGGGAATTGGCAATAAGATGGAATTTTAATACTGGAAAAAGCTTAACCTAGTTTGTTGTGTTCTTGCTTGGCAAGTTCTAAGAACTAATAATGAAATTGGCAAATAGATGCAGGCACATATTACTTTGTTTTTCATCAAGGGTTTTGGATTTTTGCATTCTCTGACATTGTTTGAATTAGGAGATTTGGAGCAAAACTTTTAACAGTTTCTTTTGTTTGTATACTCATATGAGCGGAGAAATGGAGGGAAAAAGAAAAATTAGTGAGTTTCAATTTCTCTTCAAGTCCACTTTTTATCTCCAGTAAAGCGTCTCCCCCGTTTAAATGGTTGAATATGTCTACATACGAACCAAGCCAAATTCTTATTGTAAATTTATCACAGTTCCCTTTATCCATGTATCATCCAAATTTTCTGCAGTTCTCTCTTGTTGTTTATATCTTAGTTTTAATTCCTGCTCTCACTTGCTCTAGCTTGATAATTCAATTAATCACAGTGGTAGAAGCTAATAGATTCTGTTCCCCATACTTCCTGTAGGACCAAAATTAAAGATGACTATGTCGTGCAAAGAATAATCTTGTCTGTCCTTATCATACACTTTGCAGAATGTTAAACCTTTTGAGACTGTTCTTGTTACATTAAAATGTCCAGGCACAAACAAAACAAATGCATGCAGTGCTCATGCTCAAGCAAGCACTTATACCTTCATTAGATCATAGGAAATGACCTGAATTATTGTTTTCTGCATGAATGGTTACTTTCATGCTTTTTTTAGCTGCAGTAAAACCATTATTGTATGAAATGTCGTGTTTTTTATGTTCCATAAAAGCATTTGTGAAACAAAAACTTACTCTTGTCCTGTATTTTTAGTCTTGCAAGGAGAAAAAAGAAAAAAAGGACCAATCTTCCTGTTGTGTATTGGGAAGTTTAAGTTTTCTTTGTGACTACATCTTTTTATGTTCCTATCAGATTAGAGATGAGCTTCGGAAAGAAACTGTGCAGCTTGCCAGTAAGTTCTTGGATTTATTTTGCTTAGATTGTTAAGTTGTTGAGCCTATGTATGAATAGACAGATGCCAAATTAACGTTTTTGATATGTAGGAGATAACCTGGAGAAGGAGCCACGCATAATGGAGCTAAGAAATCAAGTGGGGGTTTAAAATTTTGTTTCATTGCTTTACTCGCTTGGTTAATGTAATGTGTTGAATTTGAAACCACTCTTCCGTTTTCGTGGGCTCAGTGCAGGATAGTAAGGACGATTGAGCTAGCTGTTGCTCAGGAGAAACTAAATGATCTGGAAAGACAGAAAGATGTGTTGTTGAGGTCCTGCTCTCCTGCCTCTCTCCTCCAAAAGCTTCAAGGTATACTTTAAACTTACTCCATTTTAAGTTTTAAACTTCTAGTTAGATGGTACATGAAACACATGTTTGATTTAAAAGACATGTCTCGTTTGCAGAGGCAGCAAATAAGATAGAGGAGGAATCTGAGACCCTGCATAGACAGCTTCTTGATAGAGAGATAGATCTTGGAGCTTTTGTGCAGAAGTATAGAAAACTCCGTAGTGCCTATCACAGGCAAGAGCTTATCCTTCTTGCATCCAAAACAGCTTTAACAGTGTGACCTGAATTTGAAAATATACGTGAATGCTAAGAAAGACGTTTGCTTTCTTGTGAAAATTCATAGAATTCTGATGTACATTTGACATGTTTGTGTATAATAGTTTGAACTTTAAAAAAAGTGTCATTCTGTCATAAGTTTTAATTTGGGCTCGTGATTAGTTTTCTAGTTTTAATGTCATCTGTTTTTAACTACTACTAAACAAAGTAATTGATTATTTTTGTGATGGGAAGTCAATGCCTATTCAGGCTTTTTCTATCCTGAAAATCTGCATTCACTTCAGGTAATTTTGGTAACTCGTTTAAGGTTAAAAAACAACGCACTGAGCGGTGGTTGAGGCACAAGCTTACCCAATGTTATGTGAGTGTGATTTTGGAGTGTTTTATTATGACAATATTGCAGCTTCTTAGGCAGAGGCTAGTAGTAATATTTTTATATGTTTGGACGCCATGAAAGGTCATAAACTGATCCTGAAGTGGGACCGAGAATCATCTAACTTTGCTGGTCGATTGATTGCTTGCTCTCTCTCTCTCTCTCTCTCTCTCTCTCTCTCTCTCTCTCTCTCTCTACTGGGTTTCGAATATTGCAGTGACAAGCCACTTTTAACACTTGGGACTAGGAACCTGCTGAAGTGTTATTTTGATACTTGATAGTACACTTCACATATATTTCATCCTTCTACTTCATTTATTATCAAGTCAATGTTGAAGACAAACATGCATTTGAAAACCCACCGCAATATGCACATGTAGCAGCTTATTTAATACTGAAAACCAGTAGAGTTTAAGGATTCACTGTAGCTGTAGTTTCAAGTTGAAACTTAGAAGCCACATTTACCGCATTATTAATCAACATTACAGTGTCTACCAATTTCCGATCCCACATTGTCACGATTATCCCATCAACACCTTTTGAAGCCAAGTTGCAAATTTGGTTGAAGCCCAACACCCGACTTAGCATGCCCCTCAGGGAATTTGTATCCGAGTTGATGAGATTGGCCTTTAAATGCTGCATTCTATTAAGAATGCTGTGAATATCACTTACACAATCAATTAAACCCACCACGCAATCAAGAAGCTCTTTCGAGTCTTTTTCTTGAATGCTTTTAAGCTTTGGAATTGACTGGACAAATTTTCTCGTGTCGCGAATTTCTCTAATGCTTAGGGTGAGGACATCCTTAGTAACTTGGCGAACACTTTCTTTGGAGCATGCAGAATCTCTCCTTGATTGATCAGTTGCATGTGCTGACAAACTTAGAAATAGTAGCACTAGCAAAGTTATTAGGCTCATGAGGGGATTGTGGAATGCAATTAAGTTGTTTCTTTGTCAGAGAAGAAAATGAGATTGTGTTACTTGTAGCTGGAGGTAAAGGTTTTGGTGCTCTAGTATATTTATACTAGGATATAAGATGGAGGTTAAGCAGTGCTCTTGGTGTGATCCAAGATTATGGAGTATTTGAAGGGCATGGTTCCAGTAAACTCTTTGAGCAATTTTTCTTTCCCGTTCCTTTTCAGTTTGTTTAAGCTTGCGTTTTGGTCAAGAGAAGGGTTGGACAAGTCTGTTGGTTACAGGGATAGATCAAATATGGTTAGTACATTTGCATCCTTGGTTAATTTATTTCAAACTCAATTATTTTCTGATTTCTATCACATTGAAGCATTTAAATCATGGAGGTGAAACTTGAATATAAGGATGTTAGAAATTAGTTTAAGAAATATTTGGAGTCGTTAAGTGAGAATTTGATGCAGTAAAAGTTCCATGTATTGGAGCTGATGCTTGTATTTTTTAAAAAGTTCATAAAAGGTTATGTCGGCTCAATCAAATTTAAAGATTGCAGGTCCTGATCTTGGTTCCATGTGTTGGAGTTGATGCTTGTATTTTTAAAAAGTTCATAAAAAGGGTATGTAGGCTTAATCAAATTTAAAGATTGGAGGTCCTGATCTTGGCGAAAAATGGTAGTATAGTATTTTCGTAGACACGGATTAAGACTTTATATAGAAAAGAGCACTACTCTGTTACTTGAAGTCTCCCACGACTTCTGCTGCTGTTTTGTAACAGCCTCCTGCATTTTGCTCCAAGCAATTTCCTTCCTAACCAAAATGAGTTTTCAGTGTCAAGATACTGGCGTGCCAAAAGCACATTTGTTTCATAGTTTGACAAAGAGCATGTGGTGGCAAGCATGGCATTATAGTTAAAAGACCAATCCAGCAGTTCAATGTTTATAAAGATAGTCACTTAAGGTTGGAATTGTTGAAAGCAAGATCTAAACAATATATATATATATATATATATATATATATATAATTAAGATATGCTTTCATTAATAGGCTTGAGTCAATTACACCAGCCATTATCTGAATGGTAGTAATATATGAGGATTTTACAACCAAATAATAATAATAATAATAATAATTTTGCACGACTTGCAATCAAAGCTCCAAATAGATTGTACTAAAATTATAATTTGAGGATGCCCCCAGTGATACCTCTACTGGAACTTCTGTTTTAACTCAAATCTAGAACTTGAAGAAACACGTACTTAAATAAATGTCATACTATAGACTAGATAGAGACTTTAAATTCATCAACTTTAAGTTCATAAAAAGAACCACCAAACCATAGGATATGCCAAAATGCCTAATGTCCCCAGTTTGGGTGAGTCCGGTAGTGATAGGTATCCAATGCATGCACGCCCTACAGCCTACAAAGGCACAGGGTATCTGTCAATGGAATCAAGCCATGGATTATTCTTAGAAGGCTTTCTCACACGCCTCATGGACCTCCAAACCACACTGTTGCACTTGAACCCAGACCCGAAAGCAATTTGCCAAACCCTGTCTCCTCTCTTCACCCTTTCCTTTGCTTCCAAGTATGCCAACTCATACCAAACACTACTACTAGAAGTGTTGCCAAACCTATGTAGTGTCATTCTTGATGCCTCAACGTTCTTGTCACTCAGTCCAAGATTTCTTTGCAGCTCGTCGAGCACCGTCTTGCTGGCTGCATGGACACAGAAGTGCTCAAATGCAAGCTTGTAGTCTGGAATGTAAGGCTTTGAGGGTGGTGATGATGGGGATCCATTGTCGTTGCCAAATAAATGCCTCCAAACCAGCGTAGCAAAGAAGAGGAGCTGCTCTGAGAAGGGGAGCACCAGAGGGCCTAGTGTGGTGATGTTAGTTTTTAGTGCTTCACCTCCTATTTCTACGAGATCTTTGCTGACTTTTAGTCCCTTGAATTTTTGTTCATCTTCCTCTTGGTAAATACACCTAATGATATTGAGTGGCATAGACAAAAATCGACCAACAAATTAATTTTTGTCCATGGCAGTTGAAAATCACTTAGTCTTGTTTTTTTTTTAAAGGTTATTTGAAATAAATATTAAATAAGTGAATTGAATTGAATTACTTTCGTAAGATTGAGAATTCACTTATTTGATATATATATATATATAAGAACTAAAATGAAATATTAGAATTTTCCTAAGTTGGGGGAAAATGTATGCCCATCCTTCTGCCCTATGGCACCCACTTTTGCAGAACAAAATAGTCCATTGATCCATTGGGATGCTAGGCCCCAAATTCCAAGGCACAAACCATTAAACCTAGGTCATGTCAAATATAATGGTCCTCAATTGTTGCCGCTTCTAAAACAGCTGTGAAAGAGGTCCATCTCTGTCCCGTAAGGCACTTAATGGCAGCTGTAATAAGTTAGGGGCCACCTCAATGAAACACATTTGTCGTGAAAACAAAAGGATACCTAAAAATTTCAAGCAATCCCTTGGGACGGTCCCAAGCAATTAATTGAACAGTTGCGGATTAAAAAAAAAAAAAAACCAATAATCTAAATTGACTTCATCAACTTAACCTGCTTTATTATTGCTGTGCTATTTTCTCTAACTATATGGACACTTCGAATGAGGAATCAATTATAAATTATTCTCTTTAGATTTGAGAAATGAATTAATTTATTATTTAATTTTTTAAAACTAATTATTTAGTTATTTATGTTTATTTTGTGTAGTTTTTTTTAATTTATTTTCTTTTTTATTTTAAAAAATAGATAGTACGGATAGTAAATTATAAATTAATCTCTCTTGTTTTAAGAAAGAAATTAATTGGTTTTTCTCGTTTCGAAAACTAATTATTTAATCTTTCATATTTTAATTTTATCAATAACTTAATTTTTTTCATCATTTTTTTGTAAAGTGATGATGAGATGTTTTTATTGTAATATTTTTTTTTCAAATTGCCCTTTTTTATATATATTATTTTTCCATTTCACACACGTCTCTTCTGTTTCTCTTTTCTCAAACACCAAAATAATTTTTCTCCTCAAATTTCTATTTTTCATTTTATTAATTTTCATGCTCTTTCTCTCTCCTCAAGCACCAAAATATATATATATTAAAAGATATTTTAGATGTTAAATGTTAATTAGACAGATTTGGTAAAAATTTAATGATGTGGGACTAAATTATTAGTTTTTTTTAACTAATTAAATCCTTTTTTTAATTAGATGGACTAATTTATAATTTACTAAAAAAATATTAAATTAAACGTTTTCAATAATAATAGAAAAATTAAGTAATTAGATTTTAAAACAAGCGGGCTTGTTTCTTAAAACTAAAAGAAATAATTTATTTATTTAAAAAAAAAAAAACTAGACTAACACCTCCCTAATGTGACCTGCAATGGGTTTGATCTATTTTTCGGTCTAACCCAAAAAATGTGCCACTTATAGCCAAATCGTAGTCATTGCTACGCCCATGCGTTACTTTCAACGTTGAAAAATTTCTCTGAACTGTTCAAAAAATTGTGCCCCCTCGGACGGCAATTGTTAAAAACCATTCAAGAATGAGAAATACTAATAGCATTCAATATACGGGGAGACTTTAATTTAGTCCCTTATTTATATACTCATTCTGGATTAACTCCGCAAGCAAATTTTTTCTTCAATTGGATCCCTAACAGTTAACACGTGTCAAAACAATCGACGATGAGCTCATAATTATTAATCATCAGGTTTCTGTAAACTACGTCCACCACCTAAGTTATCTAAAAGTTATCATGACTCCTTCATGAAGGATCAATGCATGAAATGAAAAGGCAGTTGATTAAAATAGGCAAAACAAGCAAACCTGAAACTACGATCATCAGCGCCTTTATGGGTCCGGACAATATGTTCAAGGCGGTACTTGGCACGGCGAAAGTCACGGCGGCGGTTAGACAAGAGTACGGCGGAGCAACCCATCCTAAAATAACAATTAGGGATAAGCATAGAACGGTCTCGTCCTGGATACCAGTTATAGCCCACCATCTCAGTACTAACCACCACAGCATAATTATTTGGGTTAGCTTGCAACATGTCACGGGCTAAGTCCACCGCTATAATCCCAGCACTGCACCCCATTCCACCAAGATTAAAGCTTAAAATGTTACCCCTCATCTTGTAGCGATTGATAATCATGGCAGAGAGTGATGGGGTTGGGTTAAAAATGCTGCAGTTCACTACCAGGATCCCAACATCCTTTGGACGGACCCTGGTTTTTTCAAAGAGCTCATCAAGTGCACCAAACATTACTGTTGATGCTTCAGCACGACCTTCCTTCATGGTTGCACAATTCTCTTGTGACATTATTGCTTTTGGAATATAGGTCTCGTCTCCTAAGCCTGACGACTTTAGAATTCTTTTCTGAAATTCCAGGCTCGCCTCGTCAAACTTGCCTGATTTTCTTGCCAGCTCAATGAACTGATCCTTCGTCACCTACAGTGGAATTTAATCGTCGTTATTAGACTTTATAATACAGCGTTGGATCTGTACGTGATATTTGACTCAAAACCATGCATGAACTGAACCATTCGTAGATGCTTTCAAAACCCTTCAAAATGGTCAACGATTTTTTTCTTTTTTTCCATTAGAAAAGTCATTGATTCTTAAATTACAGAATATGAGTAATTTTTTCCCTCTTAATTTTCATCCTAGATATAAGTCAGATTTGATCCAAAGTCGCTTATCATGCTAAATGACTTGATTGAATGCTTGAACTAACTAATAATTAATACCCAAAATTTGACATAAAAATTCACGTCTAGAGAACCATGCATTTCCAGTTAGCTAGTGCCTGATTTTTAAAGGAAAATAGCACCACACTGTATATATTAAGTTTTGATATCAAATAATTCATGCAAACAAGAACCTTTTAGACACTAATAAAGGAGGCAAAGAAAAAAAAAAAGAAAAAGAAAAAAAGAAGCAAGGAACTAATTAAAACTTGTTGGTCACACGTACATATATATATATATATATATAATCCAAAATCGTGACTTACAGAGACATACTAATCTAATATTGACAGAAACAATTATTACCTTGAGATCATCATTAGGACGATAACAGGCAAAATCAATGAGATAAATAGACCTGGGGCGTGACATAAAGTAGACAGAAACTGTGAACACAAGAATACCAAAGGAAGCAAGCACGGTGGCAAGATCATAGCGAGCATCTTGCCAAAGTTTCTTCCACAACTCTTCCCTGCTAAGGCTCCCCACCTCAGCACTAAACACAAGGACCAAAACAGGTATGGTGGCCAAATAGATGGCATGATTGATAAGGTAATGGTAACCCAACTTGACATACTTTAGGTTTACGGATTGAAGAAAGTCAGGCAACCTTCTCCTAACCCTCACTGAAAACGTTAGGGAACCAGCATTGGGCCCTGAAGACTCAATCCCACGGTTCACAATCTCTGTGGATAAGAAATCTCTTTCATCAGCCATTCTTTAAGAATCTAATTAAGTTTTGATTCTGATGCGAATGGTTAATGCTAGTGTGGGTTGTGTTTTTATACAAGTCAGTATGGGAAGGGCATAGATATTGCTAACGAAAGGGCGTGTGGTGGGTGAGGAAAGTTAATGTTTGCAACAACTTGAACAAATGAGTAGTTGAAGTACCATTAACAGTCTTAAATTCTTCATTAAATAAAAGTGGTCAGAATTCAAAGTTCAAACGATACAGTTTTACTTTTGTTTTTTCAGCCATGACCAGATAAAGAGGATGACTTCACTCTTTTGCTACGTTTCCTTGTGATATATTATAAGAACCAAATAACAAATACAGAAAGTAGTTGAGACTTGAGACTACTAGAGGAGAAGAGTGTTTTACTTTGGCTAGATATGCACCAGCTGGAATTGATTCATCACTATGATTTTAGCTTTGTAGTTTAGCTACCACAACTGTGCTTGACACCACTCCGTTTCATCACCGCAATAATGGCAATTGCCCAAAACTGAAAATACCACAATGAAAACTCATATATAAAAGAAGAAAATTAAAGTTGACAACGTTTAGCTGCATATATTATCTTCACATGCCAAATTATTAATATATTGACATTACCAGTAGCATTTGATGTTAGCTGGCTGCCCTCCAACACATTTACAGCAAATAGAGCCGGCATCTTTCTTCATTTCACGGATCAACCAACTAAACGTAATAAATGATACAATGAGGAAAACAGTGGGCCCAGATAAAAAGTACACTAGGAAAACTAGAACGGCAGATGACATGTCATCCGAAATTAGAAGCAGGAGGCTCCTCTTCTTTTCGGGTGTGGTCTGAACGAACCGTTTCCACCAATCTCCTGTCAACTGAAGTGGACGAAAATCACTTTCATTAAATAAAGGTACTTTCCAACTCTTGTTCCATCATCGACGACCATATATTGAACCATCAACGTCAATATCATATACATCTCAAGCTGGTATCAAAGGCAATTAGAAGCAAATGAATAAACCTATTTTCTTTTATCTCCATGAAAGTTGATTAGGTCTTTGTCTATATAAAAACCCTTGTAACCCATGGTTACATGTTTCAACTCTACTCTCCTAACCTTTAATATTATTGTTTATTGTCTTTTATACACTTCTACAATTACAACAATCACATTACAATTTATTCAGACATCTCTTCTCTTTGTACATTGATGCAATCTTTTAAGGGTTCTCCAACAAATAAAAATAACTTGTTTTGCAAGTATTTTAAGCATATTAATTGGATCATTATCAATCCCCATTCATCACTGTCCCATGAACTATAAAAAATATCACATCATCATCATATTTTTATTTGAGGTCTTGAACCTTATTAGTGGCGCTATTTATAAAGAATTAAGCTAAAAGTCAATCCTTAACATCACACTTTATTTTTCAAGCACTTTATTCTAGGTCATGATCCTCTAGAAACTAATAGCCATATTTTTTGGAAATACAATCCGTTCAAAAGTTCAATGACCATGAGCCTCTAGAAACTAACAACCATATTCCTCTAGGAATACAATGCATTTGGAAGTCCACAGCTATGATCTTTTAGGAATTAATGGCTCTATTCTTTTGAGAATACAACATGTTTGAAAGTTTACAACCACGATCTCCTTGGAAATAATAACCAACACTTGGTATAAATCAAAAGGAATATATGACTATTGGCACTCATTACCATTCATATAGTAAGGAACTATGAATCCCCACTGCAACTCAAAAATAATAATATAATGAATGACTAGATGAATGAGAAAATTTCAACTATTATAACAATTTAATTTATCTAGGAAAAACAATTTGAATGGAAATAAAGAAACAATAACATAAAGATAAGAAAAAAAAACCTCATATGATCACGGTAATTTTAGAGGTCTTCAAGTTACTTCATAACACTCTCAAGACTCTTTAAGGCATCAAATCTATCATTTTCTCCCAAAGGTTTCAATAGGCTCTCGTGCAACAGAATGAGGGGTTTAGGAGGCTTTTCATAAGAAAGAAGAGGAACATCCATGGACTCGAAGCTCATCAACAAGGTAACTCTCTTCTAAAGTTATAACAACTCAACTAAGGTAAAGCTCATCAAAGTCGAGGATCTCGTCCTCCTCCCTCCGAACACCTTGAAAAGGTCTAAGATGATGCACTTAGACTTGTTGAAAAAGTGACATCAACTAATGTGTCTATAACAAAGTCTTTAGAAGTATCTCTCAAGATGGTAGTCTCTTAAAAACATGTCGGAAAATGCCTCAGGTGATCTCTAATTTCCTTAAGATGCCTCACCTCTGTTTGGGACTCCTCACACTCTTTAGTCTTGACGGATAACATCCTTTCCAACTTTTGTACCTTCTTTTTATCTTTACCCAAGACACTGTTCAAAATCTTTATGGCTAATGACAATAACTTTTTTAGCCTTTATAACATTATACTTAGCCTCCAGAGCCTTTTTAGACAAGACCTCCGAGTCTTTCAACTTTGTATTCATTTATAACCGAAGGACCCCATCTTTGGCAATTATTCATGAAGGATCATGTATCCTATGGAGGTGTAGAATAAAATAAAAACATTTCCTCCATCTAAGGCTTCTAAGATCAAGTTGTTGAATCAACTAATCATATATACATGAATTAAAGCATAAATAAAGGATTACCTCTTGTAGCATAGATTTAACCTTTATAGAAAAAGAGACATCCAAGTGTTCAACCTCTATCGATAATCTATACAACTTAAACACCCATAAAGGAAGCCACGAAATCACAGAGTGCTAGCTCCAATCCTTCGTGTAGTTAACTTTTCTTTAGAAATCCTATAAGGTAATTTGCATAAACTTTTAGCTTTGTAATAGAGAGTTACGATAACTAAAGTTTTTTAAAAGAAAACACTTTTTTCTCTTTTTCTTGCTTATGCTTGCGTGTCTAATTTTCATCCTATAATGTTGTCTCTCTCTTTTTATTTTTCTACTCTATTTGTTGTACCTCTCTTCCCCTATTTATAGGGGAGTTGCGTCCTCTAAGGATGAGAAAGTGACGATAACAAGTCCTATAAGGAGTATAGGTTGCGAGCTTCCTAGTTCTCCAAGGACTAGGAGTTGCAATGTACATGGGCTTTTTGATTTTATCCTTATAAAGCTTGATCCTTATCCAATAAGGGTCAAGTTTATCCTTTTACTAAAATATTTTACGAGCTCTTAAATTAAGCCTATTGATCTAAATTCTTTTGGCTTAATTAATTATCAATTAATTTAGACTATCCAAATAAATTGAGTTAGATATTTTTTAAAAAGCCCACATGAGGAAATAATTTCTCAATTTACCTTTAAACCTAAATTAAGAAATTAATTTTTAAATTTGAAACCGACTTTGAAATTAGGAAATTGATTTCTAAAAAATGTTTTCCAAAATAAGAAACTTTTCATTTTAGAAAACGTTTTCCAAAGTAGGAAACTTTTCATTTTTGGAAACTTTTTTCAAAATAGGAAACTTTCAAAATTGAAAACTCTTTTCAAAATCTTTTCTTCTCTTTTTATTATGTAAATGCTTAAACTTATGTGTATGACTTAATAGGCTCCTAGATATATTGACAATGTATCAAGATTAAAATACACTTTTTTTATCTCTTGATAAATAAATCAAGATTGACCTATAGTAAGGCATCATGACTATTTAATTCTCTAGGAGGATTAATTAATCCGTAATTATCTTTCATGAGCATGGTTATCATATAATTCGATCCTTATGTCAAATTATCATAGTGTGATGTCGAGCTTGGTTTATAGTCTATTTGATTGTAATGACATAAGTTTTTTTCAATTCTCAAATGTCTTAGCTCTAGAGTAAACCAACTATGCTCTATTAGTGTACTACTACTGTGGTCATAAATTCCTTAAGTAGACAATTCTCGATGTGCACTACGATAACTCCTTTAGCATATAAGGAATGACATGTCCTATCTTAGTCATCTACTATCTCTATTAGTTTCTAGTGCACCCAACGAATCATCCATATGGAGTTCCCGACTAAGCCCATCGAAATAAGTGTCAAAGTATATAAATCCTCTAATGAGATAACCATGATGACTTTAAGTCAAATGATCAGTTGTACCCATCTCATATGAGATTCCTATAGATTAAACCAAATGGGTTCTCATGGCGAGTGAAGTCTAGTGATATGTTCTCTAACATTAATCACCTAAGTGCTTACTTTGGCATCACCATGCTAATAGGTGTGAGATCTCTTACTGCTATCTTATAGAATGAGCATAGCACTCACAAGTCGTATTGCATATAGTCAATGTCCATTCTTGATAATGTTGTGACTTAAGACATTTGATGATATTATTTAAGTACTTTAATATTTGTCTCACATCTTTTGATCAATCATTAATACAATGCATATCATATGGACTTCTATCTAATTTTATTCAAAATATAAAAAATGAAAATTAATAAAAGACTTTCTTTTATTAATAAAATAAATAATATAATATTATAATAAGTTAAATCATCCAAACAAGGTTAGATCTTGGACACCTACACTAATAATTCATTCAAACCATATGCGATTTAAAACAAAGCCATAAAGATTCTCTAATTCTTGTGTCTCTATTTGTCACCTTGTAAAGTTATGAGTTTGAAGTTTGAGGAATTAAGAAGAAGATTGCAATTTAGTAAAATAGAGAAGGAGTGACATATGAAACCAAATGCAAATTACGTACTTACATTGGTGGTGAACACTAATAGTCTTCTTTATCCGACTAGTAAGAGATAGATTACCCCCATTCATTTAATTCTCTCAAAGCTTAGGTAAAATACCCTAAAAGTTAAGATGATCTCATACTTTAAGAACACAGAAGGTGGGTTTATCACTAAACAAATTAGCTTGCATTTTCATTTGCTCTTAGGTGAGAGAAATAGAAATACCAAGCAAAAATCTAGACTCCAAATAAGTATAAGTTAAGGCCCCTATCTTTTGATGTTAAAAATTAAAAGCTTTTTGATAAGAGGAGATAACAACCTTTTTTCCTTCGTAGAAATAACTTTTCTAAATTTAAGATGAGAGTGAATAGTTGGGTCCTTTCTTCAGACCTAAGAGATTCTTTAACGGTAAGAATTAAATGAGGTGACACCTGTTTTAGCTTGTGTTTCTCAACTTGAATATAACTTTCTTCAAATATATAACCCTTTATTCGTACCTCATCTTTCCCAATATTGATAATTCAAGAGTAAAAAATGAAGAGTGGCATTAACAAAATGTCCGGACTCATCCTTACCTTCAAAAAAAAAAAAAAGTGAACCTTTACTTCTAGAAGAACTTTTGATGAAGAAGAAATGAAATATTCACTCAACGTAAGAAAAATTCCTCTCTCCTTTCCTTTCTAATATGGGTAGTAGAAAGACTAGCTCTTTTAACACCTTAATTCATGATAAAATTTAGATTAGAACAAATAAATACAATCAAAAGAAGCAAAAATAAAGGAAAATCCAACTACCATAAGAGGTTGGGCTTGAAATCTACCCTTTCACTAATAAATTGATTACGTACACCTTTCCACTCCGTCTCATAACTTGGATAATGCTCTCCTCTTTCTATTAAAGTGAGTGCACTTTTCATTAGTTGATAGGTGTCAATTAAAAATTAAGGCATCCCCACACTTCGCAAGCCCATCTTGTGATGTGTTACTAATGTAACTCATTATAAACCATTATCTTTGTCTCTCATTTACATAGTGTTCTTTCCCGGTGATCAACCCTTTTAAAGGAATACTTTTAGCCTAAAAAAAATATAGAAATAGTAATCTTTATACTTTCTTATAATACCTTTGAACATAATGAAGCAAACCCTAAAGACCCTCGAGTGGGTGAAACATTATGAATGCAACATAATTGAGCAAAAGCTACCATTATAACCCACCCATTTAGATGGAATTGACTAACACACGGACTATAATAGATAAACACTTCTTTTGTGGAGCCAATCAATGGATAAAATTACCCTAGTGTGAGCATGCGTATAGAAGTATGAATGTCATAATATTTATCTCTATCCAAAATGACCGAGCATTGATTTATCATCGGCATGAGAAGCCCTTGCTTCATAATTAGGGTCTAACTATTCATTATAGCTCTTTAGTCTAATAACATTTATTTCCCTAGAAAAGACAACATTACACATACCTAAAAGGAAACTTATTTTCCCCCAAGAAGAATCCTTGTCAATTCTTCCCTTCTATAAGGGCTCAAATATACCACTAAAGGGGGATTTGGAACTAAATCTAACTGTCTAAGTTTTCCATCTCTTCTACCAACTAAAACATAAACAAAAGACCAAAAAGTTAACTTAGCTAAATATTCTTTATTCATCATTTTATATATATAAAAATATATATTGTAGTAATAACCTCACTTCTCTAAAACTAAAACCACTAAAATGATGATGAAAAGCATTGAAGGTCCTTGAATCATCACACAAAATGTGACCTAATTCTTTAATTACCAAAAATATTCTAATACCCTTCTCTTTTCGTCACCGAAAAATATGTAATCAAAAGGATCGACAAGAATGCAAAATTTGAACCGAAAATGGTAAAAGATAAGGACTTCGACTTATGTATCCCCCTTCACTTTTCTCTTTTTATCATGATCCTCATTATAATGTCAACAAAATTTCTCTTAATGGCCCACCACAACAAAGACATCCTACCATATCTTGATATATATTACTCACAATGGATAACATGGTAAAATTAATAACGAACATAGGAATTTTGAAACAACATGACTACTAGCATTTATTTGAAATCCCACACTCCATATTTTCAGCTCTTTTAGGTATGCATAATCTTTAAGGCCATAGATAATAATGATCCCATTTGAAATATACAAAAGAAAAGTGATAAAGCTTGTAAGCATCTTGAATATAACATTCAAATTCTATCGAAGTCTTTTTAAGAATGATCAAAAAATACCTTATAAAGTATAACCATTAAAAAAGCCATGTGAATCCTAAAAAAGGTTAAGTA